TTGCAATATACATGTCAGTGACACTCGGCAAATAGATGCGAATCAATTACTAGTCAACTTTCGTCCGTCACTATAAACTAGGAAGCCGAGAGGGCGATGCAATGAAAGAAGGAAAAGGAAATACATTTAGTACTTCATTAAATAAATCTTTCTTTCTTTCTTTTTCTCATCATCGTTCGTACGTCTCGAGTCTTCTCCGAAAATCGATCAATCGCAATTGAGTATTGAAAAATACGAGAAAAAGGTGGGCAAATACAAGCAAACAAGCAAATGTGTGCGCGCAATCGTTCATGCGATACTAATCGATATACATGTCGAACGACGACATGTAACAAAGTGGAAAATGATCTTATTAACGAGACACAAGACAATGAATGAGAACGAAAGAATAAAAGAGAATGTTCAATGTGATGTGTCAGAGCATTCATTGTACCGACTAGAATCTCAATGTAATAATCAATGTTATAATTACACAATATAAAAATGAACATAATAGTTTTCTATTTTTGACTACAATAAAAGAATCTAAAAAAAAAAGAGTTTATGTTCATATTATTTTATTCTTTATCTCTATATATGATAAATCTTTCAATACTCGGCAGCTTAAAAAAGAAAAGAAAGTTAATAAATGTGACATTTGTACTTTCGTTGAATAAAAGATTTTGTTATTAATCTTCTATAATAACAGCAATATATTATTAATGATTAAAAAACAAAGAATCATTGTTTATTCTTTAATAAATTAAGTCTTTTACAAATGAAAACAATTCATACCTATTGCACTTAAAAGTTTTTTTTTACTTTGATCTAAATTAACATATATTTATTTGCATTATTTATATATTTTTCTCTTTTGAATGGTATATCAACTAAAATGAAATGTATAATGGGTCAATAGAAAAAAACAAATTTTTTTTTCTTTCTTTGTTTATTTGTAAGAAACTAAAAATATTATTTAAACTTTATAAGAGACAAGAGATAGAGTTGTATAATAATAGCTTACGCAGCTAATCAATAATCATGTCAACATTAGTTTCATATCTTATCAAGATAAAAGTTAAAAGGAGGAAACTTTATCTTGAGTATAGCTACCAATTAAAACATTGTCCTTATAATATATATTGATGATTTTTCCTTGTATAGAATAAATTGTTTTGTTGAAATTTTCGAGAAACTAGTACGATTACGACATCAATGTATTATTTAAATCTAACGAACATATTCGTTTTTTTACATGAATATTAATTTCTATACATATTTACCTAATTTAGGTGTACCTAATTCAATATATTCATTATCATCACCATCTTCTTTTCAATCACTTTATGCTCAACATTGGTTTGTTTATTCTTTAATAAATTTTTAAATATTTATTTATTTTTTTTCTTAACTTCAGGCGTCCACCTATGTTTCCATTTGTATTTCCACCTGGATATCCATTTTCTGCAGGTGTTCTCTCTCAAGGTTCATCATCACCACATACAACCAGTGGACATTCATCATCAATAATAACTCATAACAATAGTCCATTATCACAAAAACGATCAACAACACATAGGTATATTTAGATGCAAAAAATAATCTATTTCATTTTTATATTTTTATTGATTTTAATATAAGATCTATGGATAATAGTTCACAACATCATCATCAACAACAACATCATAAACTTTCAATGTCTCACGATGATAATAAACAAAAAAAACCTCATATTAAAAAACCATTGAATGCTTTTATGTTATTTATGAAAGAACAACGAGCTCAAGTTGTACAAGAATGTACATTACGTGAGAGTGCAGCAATAAATCAAATTCTTGGTCGAAAAGTATAATTGCATAAAGAAAATTTTCTAATAGATAATCAAAAAAGAAAAAAATATTTGATTTTTTTTTTTCTTTAGTGGCATGAACTTGATCGTAATGTTCAACAAAAATATTATGATATGGCACGTGATGAACGTATGAAACATATGCAATTGTATCCAGGATGGTCAGCTCGAGATAATTATGGTTCAAGAAAAAAACGTGGAAATAAAGGAAAAAAACGAGAAAAGAGTCAAGGTGAAAATGGAGGTAATGAAAATTTTTGTTTTTTTTTTAAATTAAATGTTATTTTCTTTTTTATTTTTATTTAGAATGTCTTAATCAGAAAAAATGTCGTGCAAGATTTGGTCTTGATCAACAATCGAATTGGTGTAAACATTGCAAGTATGTATTAATTAAAATATAATAAAAAGACATTGTAAAATTTTGCTTTTCTTTTTTTTTTCTAGACGAAAGAAAAAATGTCTTCGTTATACAGAAGATGAAACAGCTTGTGCAGGACCTAATTCAGTTGGTGGTGGTCCATGGAGTGAAGAAGATGATGCTGATAATATTGATGATTCAGATGATGGTATTGATCATTGTGATATACCAATGATGGAACATCCTGAAGAAAGAAATACAAATGAAGGTAATCATTCACCTCATCATGGTTCTATATCGATTGATTCAGATGAAGAAAATAAATCACGTATATTAATACATCAACAACCACCAAATTCAAATGGTAGTGGTTCATCTTCATCAACAAATGGAACTGTACCAATGACTATGATGACAACAACAACATCAAGAAAAGATTCATCATCATCATCGTCATCACCACAAACTTCTTTTCTTCATCATTCTCATCATCGATATCCAATAGCACCGCCAGGAACTCATTTTTCTCCTCATCCTCATCCTCATCCTCATCCTCATCATCATCCTTATTTTGATTCATTTTTACAACCAACACCGATGCCTCTTTTAAACGGACTTAAACGAGAGACATAGTTTATTTATATTTTAGCCTTTATTTCTGTCTCTCGCCTTTTTTTCTTCTTTCTAGTCAGTATCCGAGGTGATCGATCTGGTTGCAATACATGTATAATCTCTTCTTTACCATTCATTTTTTTTTTCAATTTGTATCTTTATTTTTTCCGCATTCAAACCTTTGTTCATTATAGATTTCTCTCATTTTCCATGTTATACATGCATCATATTCTGACTCTTTAAACGTTTGTATATGTAAATCACTTTCGTTTTTTTTTTGTTTCTTGTGGACGATACGTACAGAGTTCATATTTAATGAAGAAGAAAAAAAAAAAGAAACAATGGATAATCGGTCATCTTATAGTATCACATTACAAACATGTGTATTTGTGTAAGGATCAAATAGAAAATTGCTAGGATGATCAGTAGCTGATTTTCTTTATTGTTTGTCATCAGAATAGATTATCAGATGAAAACGTATTATTTTGCTCTATGGAAGTTTTGATTTAGGTAGAAGATAACAATAAAATGTAAATTTGCTATTTCATCATGAAAAGCTTTTGAGATGAAATGTTTATTAAAATATGTTTGCTGCAAAAGAGTGATGATTATTTTCGAATAAAATAATAAAATTGATATATTATAACAGATAGATATCTTCATGGAAATCAGATTTTATATAAGAGAAATATTCATCAAATAGGTATCATGTATAGATTTTTATTCAATAGTTTTCTAAGACAAATAAAATGCTATAAACATCGAATCGTAGACCATGAGTTCTCTTTAATGAATGTATGAATAAAATTAATGTCATTTGATTGAAAGTTTAACATTATTGGCTATTGAGTTAAAAAATTAAACGCTTGATTCGCTCACATTATTAAAGCAATTACTTTCAAAAATAAAATGTACAGCACTTTTAGGCCGCTCTCTAGAGCCTATCGAGTTAGACTCGAACCCGACGATGTGTAGGGTGCGCCGATCATCGAATACAAAAAACTCGAAAAAAGTATCTTGTATCTTCGGGACGACTATCCAATTCTCATTAGACAGTTTCGTTGAGAGTATCAAAGTACGCTTCTACCGGGTGCGTGTCGATAAAGTACATAAGATTTCTATGGGACTTTTGCTAAATGTTAGAATCATAAAAGTAAAGTCACGAAACATTTGATAGGTCTGCAAACTTCATTGTTCAAGAGTTTTCAAGAAATTACAGTGTAAAGTGAATCTTTCACGTGTGCAAATTTTTTTCAATATACTTCTCCAGCTATGGAACTCAGAGTATTGTCTAGTTAACAGAGAGCTCTGTATTACTTGATATGAGAGAAAGGACTTTTTTAAATTTCTGATTAATTTTCGTCTTAGAAAGTTAAAACCTTGATTGTTGGAAAACCTATTATGTCTCTATTTGTTGGAGCTTAATTGAGAAATTCTTTCTCCTCATGTGAAGTAAAAAGTACTATGCTATTAAATACAAGAACTTGCAATTCTCTAGAGCAAAACATATTGAAAATATATTTACTTAGAGATGTACCATTGATACAAAAATCAATTGTGAAAAAGACATAAAAATATTTTTTTCTGCATTTAATCAATCTGTCATTAGACATCAACATGAAATATAGCAGTGTCATGTATCGATTGTAAAACATTAATCAAGATGCATGGAATTATGCTTTAAACTACGCGCATATAGTTAATAACAAATGGAGTTGCTTTAGATTTTTCTTCGATTTTTATCTAGACTCACTTCAGAAATTTTTAGCAAATATTTTCGAAATGTTTCAAAAATTGCCGAATAGTTTTATAAATTTTAAAACTAGACGTTTCATTCAATATTTTTGTATGTTTGTATCAAAAATCATTCGTGTTGAAAGATAATAGACTTTTTTTGAAAGATGATAGTCTAAGAGATGTCAGCGTATTGCTAAAAATAGAAATTCATTGCATAGTATATAGAACGAAAAAACAAAATCCACGGCTTTTTTAAAAATTACACAAATAAGATCATTTCTTTGGATTACAATCAATACTGTTTATCTATTATATAATAATATACAAAGATAAAATAAACTAGTAATAGTAAAAATTTTTGAGTTGTCTTATGACATAAACTTGTATTAAATCACAACTGATGATTTTTTTTTATTTTAAATTCAATGTTAAAAAGAGAAAACTAAGTTATATTGAAAGATGAATTTAATATTGCAATGTAATGTCAAGAGAAATTGGTTTAATTTGTTGTTTTTGTTGTACAGAAGATGATTGTTTTGATGATGAACGATTTTCTAAATTACTCATATTTAAACGAATTTGCTTCAATTCTTCTTCCAAAAGATGACATTCATTTTCAGCTTGTTGTCGAAGCTATAATAAAAAAAAAACAAAAAGAAAATAATAATTTTGTTATTTTAACATATTTCATTATACTTTTGTACTGTTATTCAAACGAATTTTAGCTTGTTCAAGTTCAGTATTTGTATCTGATTGATCATTCTAAAACAAAAAAAAAAAAGAAGATATATGAATATGATTATAGATATTGAATTAATCTATATTTTTATATTCAGACCAATGTTATTCGACCACGTTCTTCAAGTGCAGCTGTTTTTTTCTTTTCAATAAGATATTTTTGTTTCCATAAATCTCTTTCTAAAAAATAGTAAACAAAAAATTAAATTAGAAAAATAGAAGAAACAATAAATATATTGATTTAACCTTCTGTTCGACGAACAGCAATTTGAGCATGTAATTGTTGCATTTGACGAATAATTGTTTCACGAGCTGCTTCTAATGCAACACGTTTTGTTTTTAATTCTTCAAGATGATTTGAAAGTTTTACAACTATAAAAATATGAATATATATATATATATATATCAAATCATTGTCTCTAAGAAAATCAATCTTTTAATTTACCATCATGAGCATTGAGTTCTTCAATATGTTCTTCTTCAGCTTTACGACGAGCTAATTCACGTGCTTCTTTTTGTAAACGTTCAATTTCATTAGCAGCATGTCTGAAAGAAGAAAAGCCAAAAGACTGATTGACATCAGATTTTTTTCTCTTGATATTTTCGCTTTTAATAGAAGATGATGCTGACCATTGATGTTCATTTCGCCATTTTCGATATCTATCTAACGGTGTTGAATATACATTTCTCTCTTCAATCGACGATGATATTCGTCGTTTATCTGGTTCTGGTGACCACAATCCTCGATCATTAATAAAATTCGATATTCTGAAACGCATGTTTATATATATATTTCGATTCTTTTTTTTTCTGTCTTCTTTCTATCGAAAATGCACTGAGAAAGGTACAATAGCATCAATAACAACAACTAGTCAAAACAACATTAATTCATGCATTGTCATTATTCAATATTTTGTTGTTGTCGTTTACGATGTTTTCGGTAGGCTCGTTGGATGGTTCGTGCGGCTTCATCATCTCTGTGAAGGGAATAATACTTATTGTGAATTATTTATATGTAATAAGTATATATCGATATATGAGAGTGAGAAATGTGAGTATTGTGTAAATATAAACAGGTGTAAGACAAGCACAATTGATGTTGATATGTGCTTCATTTCAAAAGTGATGGCACATTCATCATCAACAAAAACAATCGAATAAAATATGTGAAAAAAAGAATGATTACTGATACAACCTTTGATTATCATGATGTACAATGTCTTCATTGTTGCTGAATTATGTAAGATGTATTTTATATACTTTCAAATTATTAATCGAAGAAACGAAAAAAAAAACAAATAATATAAATAATAATAACTTACTCTTGTTGTTTTTTTTCTTTTAATTTACGTCGATTTCGATAATTTCGATAAGCTCCTTGAATTCGAATAGCTGCTTGTTCTTCTTCTTTTTGTCGTTGTTCTCGAGATAGATTTTTTTGTTTTTCAAGTAATTCTTTTTCACGTTTTTGTTGTTCTTGTTCAATTTCATGTTGTTGTTCTTGAGCTAGATTTTTTTGTTTTTCAAGTAATTCTTTTTCACGTTTTTGTTGTTCTTGTTCGATTTCATGTTGTTGTTGTTGTTCTTGAGATAGATTTTTTTGTTTTTCAAGTAATTCTTTTTCACGTCTTTTTTGTTCTTGTTCGATTTCATGTCGTTGTCGAGCTAATTCAATTTGACGTAAACGAAGACGTTCTTGTTCTTCACGTAATTTTGCTAATTCTCTACAATAATAAATATTCAATATAGTATGAAATTATAAATTTTATTTTATTAGTAAAGAAATATTCTACCTGGCACTAAGTATACTCGAAGCTGTTGAAATACTTTCATAAAAGATAAGAAAAGAAAAAAAAGAAATTTTTCCACATATATTCTTTTGTTTTTTTTTTTTTATTCATTGTTTGATGTTTACTTTGAATCTGAAGAAACAGCAAGGTCATTAAAATTTGTTGAATTTTTTCGTTCACTAGAATGAACAAATGTCCGATATGTTAATGTCGATGGTGGTAATAGTGGAGCAGCAATCGGTTTGTTCCAACTTTGTTGACGACTTGTAGTCAATGGTAATGGACTCATTAATGATCGATGAATAGGTGATTCACGAAAAAGATAACTTTTTGTATTAGTTGGTGTTGAAGATTCATCATCATGATGTCCTTCGAGAATAAAAATCTAAAAGAATTGATTAATTTTTATTTCAATTTAAAAAAGAAAAAGACAAATGTCTTTACTTCCGGTGCAAATGTCTAAAATATAGAAATAAATTTAACTATAGCACCTAAGATATGATATGAAACATTACGAACCATTGGTGGTCGATAATTTTTCACTCGTAGATCTGTTTCTTGTTGAGGTTTTACCTAAAACAAAATATGTTATATATTTTTTTGTTATCATTTTTTTTTTTTTTTGTATAATTTATACTTTAGTTAAACATCGACCAACACTTCGTAGATAAATAAAATCTTTTGGAAATTGATCATCTTGTCCACAAATTTTATGAATATATTGACGAAGTTCATGTATAGTTAAATTTTGTGGTACACTTTCAAAGATTTTATACATTTAATAATTTTTTTTTTTTTTTTTATTTATTTATTCAAAATAACTTACTGAACAAAACCAGCTGATATAGCTTGTTCCATTGTATCATTTTCGGCTAAATTTTGACGATTTTTCCAAACATGTTTTGGTATTATATAAACATGAAGATCAACAAGCTAAATAATGGAGAATATATAAATATTTTATTAATATATATAATATATTCTACTTGTGATGAATCTGGTCGATCAACTGAAATAATATTAGTACGTAATGTTAAATGTTCACTTTCAAGTTGAGACTGCATCTATATATTAAAAATACAAATACATACAGATCAATTGAAATTGTCCTATTGTTTTTTTTTCTTTTTTTTAGTCTTATGTTTGCTTCACCACGCCATTACTCTATATTTGACATGCTCGTTGGTGATTTTTATTCTTACATATGCAATAAGAAAGAGTAGAAGAATGGAAGAAGAAAAAAAAAAAAGAAACAAAAGCAAAATCACATTTACATACTTGTTTCAAACGAGTATGTAGATTCCATTTCTACCTTTCCCCTTGCTTTGACAACTGCATGCATATAAAGAAATATAACTTTATTGAACTAATCTCGTGTTCTTCTTTGTTTTTTTTTTATTATACCTTATTTCACTTTTTTTTTTTTGATTCTCATTACATTGCATATAAAGAAGAAAAATCTCTTTCATATTCATTGGATAAAATATTTGAACAATATTATGTATCAGTAAAAAAAAAAAACTGTTCGTTGTTATGAAACATCAATATGATAAACATTCCACATAGATTTTATTTGATTAAATACATATATATGGTCATGGCTTCTTAAAAAAAAAATCGAGCATAATTAGCATGAAACCAAAGAAATCTAAAACAATCATTGAAAGAAAAATATAAAGCAGCTTTCTTTTTCTTTGATTAAAAAAGACTATATGATCTTTAGGATATTTCAAAGAAAAAAAAAATGTAAAAATTCTACTACGTTTATCATTTAAGAAAAACAAAAATAAAATGATTGACATTTAGAATATGTTTAATACAAAATAGTTGTAATCATAGAAGATGTAAATTTTATGAGTAATTATTAGAGTTGAATTTGAAATGAGTCATGTTCATAATATTAATGCTTATTTTTGAGTATTAGCCAGTATCATAGCATGTATGCATTGAATGTGTTGATACTATGTGCTTCTATTTTGAAATTAATTCATTCTTATTCTTATAATAGTCAAAACAAAAGTAGATTTTGAATTAGGATAATTCGTGAATTGTTGTATCGAATAACGTTGTTTGTTTTATTAATTATAAATAATATTTAGACATCAGAAAGTTGTATATTTTTTTTGTTTTATCATTGTTCTAATTACAAAAAAAAAAACTTAATTAATTTCAATAATTTTAATATTCTACTTTGTTATTTCATGAAAATAATAGTCTTAAAAACATTGTTTTTTTATATAAATTGATATCTATTTGTTTACTTTTCTTCTATCCTTTCAATTATCTATATTATTCGATAAGCTAGTACGAATTATTTACTATCACTCGTCTCAGCAGAACATCAATTAAGTATATACATTGCAAAAGAAAATACAAATATGATGTCACGTAGTGCATCAGATGAAATATAAATAAACCAAGGACATGTATATATATATATATATCACCATCATATAAGATTATAATATCATGTGGACTTATATTAAATAATTTGTATAATGACGCATTTTCTTCACTTAATCTAATTATAAATTTATAGTCAATTTTTAGAAGAATGTTAATATTGAAAAATAAGATCGTGTCACAGACTTATAGATCAAGAGTTAAGATGTCATCAAAGCGAGTCTCGTTCTTTCTCTTTTCAACATCAACAGTATATATTCCACGTATGACCTATATATCTATATGTAGGATGAGAAATGATTGTGTCTTGTGTCCATTTACGTTCTTTTTGCTATAAATATTGGTGTTATTCTTATTTTAGGCAGACATCTACTTTTTTTTTCTTCTTCTTTTCCATCCTACATTAATTCTGCTTGTATGATTTGTTTGTTCTGATATATTTAGTAAAACAAATCAACAACTTCGCTATAGTGCACATTAATATGGACACAAGTGATAGAAGTATGGATTATGATAAAAATTTTATTACACAACAAAAAGAGAAAAAAAATCATTTGGCAAGTCGAGTAAATAAATTTCAAGAAATAGTCAATCAAATAGGTGCACCACCATCCGCCGATAAAGCTGAGTAAGAAAATTTATAATTTAATAAAAGAAAAAAAAAAGCGAATAAAAATATCATTTCTTTTTCATTTTATTCTTATAGTTTAGCACATCGAGGTCAGGAAGTTAGAGAACAAGTTTTGGAAGAAATGAAACAATTATGTCATATTATTCAAACTAATGGACAAGAACAAGATGGAATAGTAACAATTAAATTTGGTGATTTATTCGAAGTATGTCATATCAATATACAGCATCTCCCAAAATTATTCAACTAGATTTATTTTCAATTTTTTTTGCACTGCCGTCAACCCTAATAAGAATTAAAATAGTGATTTGTGTAGAGAATTTTATTTCCAGAAACAGAATTTTCGAAGTAAAAGAGCTTCTGAAAAACCGAAACTCAAGTTTTTCATCATCTAGAATTCATAAATAGAACCCTGTTTGAATTACTCAAAATGATAGAGCAAATAATTCTCTTTAAAATGAAACGTCTTCCAGTTATCTACGACATTTTTTTATCGATATACATTAATCTTGCGGAAGGCACAAAAATGATATTTCTACATGTAATAGCACAAAAAGAAAAAGATTTCTGTGCCTTCGATAAGGTTGATATATACCGATGAAAACACGTCAAAGAGAACGGGAAAATGCTTCATTTCATAGAGAATTGTTTAATTCAAATAGAAGTCTATTTGCAAATTCTAAGTAATAAAAATCTTGACTTTCATTTTTGCAGAGATTCTATTTTTGGAAACCTATTTATCATTTTCATCTTCAAAACTCTTTGTTGGAGATTAAATCCTTTATACAAATCACTATTTCGATTCTTATAAACGTTAATGACAGTGGAAAAAAAATAGAAAATAAGCCTGGTCAAAAAACTTTGGAATTAATTTTAATATTATATTCTTTTTTAAGATTTATACGAATATTTCGGATAAATTAGTTGGTGTATTACGGAAAGCTCGTAAACAAGGTTATTTGGCTTTTAAAGGTGAAATGTTATTACAAAACAGAGATGAAGATGTTGTTATTCAACTTAATCGTTTGCCTTAAAAAAACAAATTTTTTATATTGAACTTTTCTACATCATATTTTGTATTATTATTATACTTCCGTTAAAATTTAAATAAACCGGCCTTACAATAAAAAAAAAATCAACTGCAAATTAATAGAACACAATTCAAACGGTTGTGTACTAAACTTGCTTTATTTATTTGCTCTTAAAAACACTATTTACATTCTTTTTTTCTTCTAAATTTGAATAGTTTTTATTACTAATTACAAACAGCTCAAGATAAACTACTGATAATTGTAAGTAAAAAAAAAATCGAAAAAATAAAAACATAAGTAAATAAATGGATATTTGACTGATTATTAATCGATTCTGTTAGTCTTAATAGTTCCATTAAGTATCACAGCAGACGTTTGCATTATTCAAGTACGATAATGCAGAGTCAATATTTGTCCTTTGTTGAAGTCAATTTTTAACAGAACCAATACAAACAATTAACGAGTGATCGGAAAGTTTTTAAACAAGATGTTTGTTCTCTTTTGAGCCACTAAAAAGTATCAAAAGCTATGAGTTAGGAGAAGAATGTTGTGCTCTTTTCGAATATGAGCTTACAAATTTTGTCTCAATTTGTGTTCGATAGTAGTAAAATAGTATGTGAAAAGTTCAAAAAATTAGTTGGGGAGGAAAATTTTTGTATTTCCACTATTGCAATTGGAAACTAATAGTTGAAATCTTTATTTTATATATCAGAAACTATCCTACGAGATACATATTGTCTTTCGACAAGGCATCTCAATTTTCGTTTCTACTGAATATTCATTTTCAAACAAAATCAACAACTGTTTTACGTTGAAAGGAGTTCTTGGAAAATGCTTGTAGCTTTACTTGGGTAAAAATTACAGTATAGTTCAATACCACATTTTCTGGAGAAGTGTCTGTTCTACAAAATGATCGACTTCGACAAATTTTAGTATATCCGAAAAGAGACTTATAGGGTAAACAAAAAACTGTTGGCTCACCATTTTCAGATCTTTCAAAAAGTCCTTCAGTACTCTTGAACAAAAATACACACAACATTTCCAAGATTATATTCAAATTTTGGTTTCAGTCTATAGTTTTTGGCTCGTCTGCAATGCTTTCAAGCAAGGCAAAATGAACAAACATGTTTACCGAAAACGTTGGCCTACAAGTAGGAATCTGCAAAACCACTTTATTTCAGTCTCGGTCCCGACCTGATCCCGGTTCTAGTCCCAGTTAAAAAAGAATCTTAGTCTTGGTTCCGTCCTAGTCCCAGCAAAAAGCTAAATTTTGGTCTCGGTCCCGATTCCGATTCCGACGGGACCGAGACCGGGTCCGGCACCATCTTGCAGATCTCTACTCACAAGTTCCATGCAAACTAAGTTTTTTGAATTTGCAAACATTATTTCACTACTCTCGAACACAAATTGAGACAAACTTTGTAAACCTATATTCGACAATAGCACAAAATTCTGGTCCTAATTTATCGGAAATACTTTCTATCGGATCAAAAATCAACAAAGGCTTTCTCTAAAAATTTTGTGATCACTCGTTAGTATATAATAATAATGTTTGAAATTCATTCATCACAAACATCACATTGCAATTGATTAATACAGATACAAAGCTAATCTATATATATATTTTAAATATACAAAACGAAAAACGTCTAATGAATAAAAAAGATTTCAAAGCTTCGAGTTTAGGTATATATTAATCAAGAAACAACAATTTTTTTCCATTGAAATTTCAATTTCTTTGAAGCAAACAAAAACATTTATTAATTACTCTTATAGACTGAATTACAACATATAATGTGTTCAGTGACGTCTTTTAAAAAAAAACATATCTATTCATATCTATGGTTTAAGTTGGTTATTCACTATTGTCAAAAAAACTTCATCGATTAAAATAGATGATAAACAACACCCGAAATCCATTTTTAAAGAATCTTCTTCTATATACAAACATATATAATTATATATTTAATGAATCGTATGAAAATACAAACAATGATTTATTAAAAAGTATAGATCATGTGCAATCACTCACGTAAATAAAATTTATCACAATCTAAATATTATATAACATAAGAGTTAGTTTTTTTTCCAGAGAATTAACTAACAAAATGATGATTGGATTATTCATGAGATAAAAAAAAATTTCCAACAAGAAAATACGCAATGGAATATAGTATATGATGATGATGATGATTAGAGTATTATACAACATGTGAATAAATACTATCGATATTAATTCTTTGCCTAACTCATATGCAACTAGATGGACACATTTTCATATGTCAAATAAAACAATTACAATAGGAAACAAATAATTAATAAAAGAGACGAATCGAAAAGAATATGCTGAAAAATAATATTTATGTTTGTACAAGTATAGTTATTTATTATAGTTGATACAATCAAAATATAACAAAAAGTAAGAAGGTAATATAATGTGGAAACCAAACCAGAAATTGATATCATCATCAAATAGCGAACTAATCTTAGATTACTTTGTACTAGTCAATATCAACGAAAAGAAGATATATTGAATCGATCTATTGTTGCCAAATTTATACGTGTCAAAAAAGTAAGTCAACTTATTTAAATATATAAGGATATACTTAGCCCATTGATAATAAATTCACTGATCATAATAGAAGTGAATAGATCCGTAAACTCTTATTAAATACATATGAATTTTTTTTTGAAAAAGTTAGATTGAATGATCTTTCAGTAAGACTAGCAACAAAAAGGAAAAGATCCATGTAAATAACTACTCGGCAAAAAAGCAAAAACAAATCATAAGATAACAAAGATATCAACATTTAGGTTTAAAAATATGATGAATACCGTAGTTTAATCTTATTGAATGTAACTGAATAGTTTGAAATCTGCATAATGGATCATTCTAATTATGATCTGTCGTATTTTATCGGTAATATCACTCATAATGTGAATTTTTTATTATTTGATACTTTTTCACATTGAGTACTGATTATATTCGATTTTATGACTCCTTTTCATATTTATTTTGATCAATATTGCAGTTAGTATTAATTAGAACAACTTTTTTTTTTATCATTATATTACCATAAATCTTTATTGTATGTGTTCAGTACTAATGATTGTCAGTTATTGTTTGAAGATTCTTCAAGTGGAAAGATTACTTTCCTCTAATTGCGACCCTGTTATTGGCATTTTTTCCGATGAAGAATCGGAAATAGTTGATGAGGAAATTTAATCTTGACAAAATTTACTCTAGTGTAACAAGAAATAGATTTTTATTCTCGTCTATGTCACTATGAACTAAGCATTATTTCCTTTATTTTGTTTTTTTGAATTCTGTACAATATAGATACTTCTGTCTTTTTTTCTTATGAATGAATATTGTAGATCAATTTATCGTTTCTTTTTTATTTCTATATATGAATTGAAGAATAAAATTTCCCTTATAGAAATTTCATAAATCAAGTAAGAAAAAAATAAAAGTTGATACTATTGTTTACAATTCAAATTGACAATGTCATTCTTGTAAAAATACTTCAATATAATGTTGAATTTAATCAACAAACAAAGTAAATCATCCACATCATTCTAATAATATTGAAGATATTAGTCTGCGAATGATCATGATAAGAAAGCCGTTAATGGTGCACAATCAGTTACCAAATATGATTTTCTAAATTCAATACTGATCACTACAATCAAAAGAAAATTGATAATAATGATTAAACTAATTTGAAAATTTCCTGACGAGATAGAATAATTCTTGATAACGTCTAATATCGAACCCGAGTATTTCAGCTCAGAGTACGGTCATGATGAGCTTAGTCTATCCCTCACTACTTCATCATTAATAAAAATCGTTTGTAAATAGTCATGAATTTTTGTATTCAAATACAAAATTTAATTAAATAAACATCGTTTTAATTAATTAAACAATATGTAATTTTTATAAAATTTTATTTCAGATAAAAAAAAAGAAAAGTATTGTCATACAAAAAAAAAAAATTTAAATGAAAAATATATCAAGAAAATAAAACACAAAATCTATTATATGATAAGATCTATGGAAAGTATGATTATATTATATTTTATTGGAAATTTGAAAGCACTACTTGTGTTCGTATGAATATTCTTGACAAACTTTTTATTGATGTGAAATGTGTAGCAGAATATTATAAAATATATATTATTGCTTATTTAACTAATCTGTTTTTACTCGAATTAAGACAAAAGAAAAATTACAATATAAATATATTCATGTTTAAATAAAGCATATATCACAGCAATTGCTGAGTTTATGATCTTTTTGAAATTGTTCTCATTTGTTTTGAATTTTGATAAATCATCCTTTGATATTTTATTTTCGGTATTTTTTGAAAGTATATCAAAAAAATACAGAAAATTAGAATGAATCAAAGTAATTTCGAAAACAAAATGAGTACCATTGATTAAGTTTTATGTATTATTGGATTTTTCCCATTCTAAATTTAATTTAATGATTTTATTTATGACTTCTTTAACTTGTTGTTCATCTTTCAATTTCTCAAAAACTGTTTGAGCTATGGCAATATCTTTCGAATGTTCATTATTCTGTGTATGAAAAATAATCTCATCTATTTGAGCCCAATGTGCAGCCAACATTTGAGTAATAAGCATTATTTGTCGATTATTTCCATATGCACCACAACCCCACCAACCTGTATGTATTATTGTACGAAAATTATTCGTTTCATTATGACTTGGACGTTGATGATCAGAATTTGAAGCATATCTATTCATTTCATAAGTTTTATGTGCAAGTATTTGTGCTGCTTTGAAACCCGTATAACAATTTGTGAGTATGTAATTAATTTGTTCGTATGTATAACAACCCTCACCATTACTTGGTGCTTCAATTGCAATTAAATTAACAATTTGAGGTGGGTCAACCAGTTTAAATGCATGTTGAAGTTGTTCTTTATTTGCACGGGCAAATGCATTACCATAAATATCTTTTGTATCTAAATCAATTACTCTTTCAGTATTACTGATTAGAACTAAAGTAAAAGGAAAATTTTATAACAAAAAAAAAAAAAACTACAATTTTATAATAAGTAAATAGAAGAAAAACATACTGGGTGTTGGTACTGATTTATTATTATGTGCATCTGAACCAACTGTACGTGAACCAACTGTATTAATTGTTTGACTCAAATATTGTCTTAAAGAAGCTAATTCAACACATTCTAATACTTGTAATTCATCTTGAGCTAATAAAGGACCTCCATAATATGCAAATAGATCATTATTTGCAAAATTTAAATACCATTCAATTGTTTGAATATTACCGTCTGATTTATAATTAAAAATATCGTCTTGAAATTTAATTATAGTTGATAATTGACTATTAGATTCTATAATTGGTATAAATGGTTTCCATCGTGTTATTAATATTGATTTATTAGGTGATGGTAAATATTTATGTTTATTATTAAGTAAATCAAAAATAAATAATTTATTTTGATTTTCAAAATTTGGTAAATAATTTTCATATAAATCTTTTGAATTTAATTCTTCTGCAGCAAATAAACCTTGTCGATATTCTTCATAAAGATTTGAAAAGAAAATTTCATTACGAAGTATATCAATAGTTTTAACTTGTATGTTTGATGTAGTTGGTGCTGGTGTACAAAAAATGTCATCAGTAAAACGAGTATGTGAACGTGTTGCCATAAAAATATTGTAGCTAAAAGAATAGAACAAAAAAAAAACAACAAACCTGATTCAGAGTTTATCAGTTGTAGCAGTGTGTCAATAAAAAAAACAGGAAAAGAAAACGATAGTAAAGTGGTTACTACAGTTACTAAAAGGTAAGAAAATGATCGACCTCATTTATATATGAAAGAGAAAATGATATTTTTCTATGAATCGAACAGATAGGTAGACAAGCAGTTGATTTTTCGATGGGGCAAATATTTATGCATCGACATTCATTTGATACAGTTATTAGAAGCAATATATTTATTGTAAGTTTAATATAGAGGAATAACAAAATGTGAATTTGATTTGTGATAAAAATTTAAAAAGAATTATTTTGAAAATAGAAAAACAAAAAGCTTTTTGAATTAGTAATAATAAATATTAGGAAGATCATATGTCTTTAACATGTTATATTTATTGTACATATAAACTGATAAATATAAATTAATAATTTTCTCAATTAAAATTCTTATTTGAATATTAAAATATTAATGATTTGATATATGAACTAAACGAATGATTTTTTTTTTTCTATAGTGAAAATGACTTGTTGATGATATAAAAGATTACTTAATTGTATTTGCTATCAAAACAAAATTTCCATTTTTCTTTCTTAGCAAAGAAAAAAAAACTGAATTTCATATTAATCATAATCAATGTTCAAATAGAAGTTGTCTATTCAAATGATCTTTGGCAGATCTATATTTGAAACGAAGGAAATCGATTTATTCAAATGAAAGAATTGACATTTAATTACACAATAGTAGTATAAAAAAAAAAGCCATTTCATTATTATGATCATTATATAAAATCAATGTTGACTTTATCCTTTATTTATAAATTAGAGTATCTATTGAAACTTTTCGACAATATAAACAAACTCAATGAGTTACTTATAAAAAGAATAAGAAATATGATGTGTAAAGAAGCAAAGAGGAAACAGCTTACTGACTGTTGATAATGTGTTATTTTATTCTTTTTCTGCAATAAATCTAATGTCAAATGTTGTTATTTTCTGTATAACCATTTTTATTATTAATTTCACCCTCAAGATAATAAATCAGGAATTTGCCCTTTTGACATATGAGACACTGTCTATTTTTTTTTAAGGTGGACAAATATAGATTATTATCTTTTGATATGTTATCTACATATCACAAGGTCTTCTTTTCATCATCTTCAAATAACAGCTGAGCTAATAGCCTTAGTGTTCGTCTAAATTACACAACGCATGTCTTCTCTCACAAGCTAAACTAATACTCAAAAAGACGAAGAAAAATGTTGTCAACGATGACGTTCCTATCGTTCTTGGTAGGGAAAAAAAGGAGGGGAAAAAAATCAATCTCAATGTGTTTATTTCTTTCTCTGAAATGGTCCCGTTATTGCTTTACGAGACAAAATTTGCCTATCAATTGCTTCACGAGCAAGTATATAGTTCTCGATACTTGACTGTCACTCTTTTTTTTTTTGCTTGCATGTCAAGTTTCTATCGTCAAGTACAAACGATAATGATGAGAAAAAGAGAACAAATAATAATAATCATAATCATAATCATAATGAAGACTGAGGCAGAACATCAATAGAGATCTAGATATATGTGTACCATATCTGATCATTTCTACAGATGGGTAAGTCAAATAATAATATAAACCAACAAATATGTACTCATCATACTCTTTATTAATTTTGATCTATAAGTTATGACCTGTATTATCAGATGAGAAGATCACTTCTTTATTGAGTAGCAATGTTGAAATCAATTGATTGTTGAAAAAATGATATATATTTTCTAATTATTCAATCAAATGCGTTTTTTATTCAGCTTCCATTTTGTATCTTTCTTTTTTTTCATTAAATATGTCATATTGAGAATGCAGCTGTTACTGCCATTCTTTCGTCTTCAGTCATCATTTGCTAGTTCAATCGACTATCCATCGGCATATTTTGATTAGTCTCATTTTACATTGCCGCTGTCGCTGTCTTTCGTTTCGCCCGAGATTTTCTCTATCTCTCTTTCTTTCTCTCTCTGTCTCTTCTCTTGCCTTTTATCATCATCACTAATGTCTTTTTGATCAACATATACGCAAGAAGATCTTGTGCTTGCTGTTATTACTGATCTCTATCATTGTCATCATTTTCTTCTCGTTGGTGAGTAGTTCACAATCAATTGATTCATTCACATGTGTAACCACAAGATAAATGTGTGTACGCGCATTGATTACTAAAATTAATTGTACAATGTGTTCAGTATGAGTATTTGAAATGATAGATACATGCTCGATCGCATTCAATTATTTCAGTTTATTTAGTTACATTTGCCAACATTTTAGCACTTCTATTTTATATGCATATGTTAGTAAAATACATACTTTAGTAACTTCATACATTTTTCTTTAGTTATGATCTATGAAAAAAAAAAAAGAAAAAGATACGATGATATAAACGTCATTTTCTGCCACCATTTATTACTATCAATTCTGTTCTCTTTGTTGCTTAAAAGAGAACATATAGCTCTAAATTGATGACGAGACTATATAGTAATGAAGAAAACGTCGTCCGCATTTTTTTTTCTCTCCTGAGTATGAAGTAGGAGTGCAGAACATTCATCTAACAATAGTAGAAAGATTCAGTTGAACAGCTATTACTATCTACCTGTAGGCGCTCCACCAAAAAAAAAACACACCGTAAAAAGAAGAAGAAGCAGAATAGAAAGAAGAAAAGGTTGACAAAAAATACCGAACATCGACAACATAGGCGAGTCAACACTTGGTATTTTCTAGTCACGCTATTTTCATCAGGCGATAAATCGTGTAAATGTAAGCATGTAATCGCATTTAGAAGAAAAAAGAGAAAATAAATATAGTAATTGAAATATTTAACTAGTAGTCAACTTAATTGTCATTTCTATTTCAAGGTTAAAAACAACCTATTTATATATTTCTTTTTTATTATAGAATTCTTTTTCTCTTATAAGAAAGAAAAGAAATTTCTTTTTGTTGATATTTTTTTTTTTTTTGCTCTACTCTTATTTATTTGATCAACATCATTATGTTCAGTAATATAAATGATTTATAGTGTATTGTTTTATTTTATATATATTTTAGTTGAATCTGAAAAGTAATTAAAATAATATTAGTATAATTGTAATGGGTAAAACAGCACCGAGTATTAAAGCAGCAGCTGGAAAAACACCAACAAACGATACTACACCAATTACAAGTGGAGAATTAAATGATCCATTTCAAGTTCAAAAAAAAAATATTCGTACAGCTGCCCTGATCGTTTGTACTTTTACATATTTAATTATTGGAGCTTGTGTATTTGATGCACTTGAAGATGCTCCATTTACAGATCGGTAAATATTTACTTAAAATTAAATATATTTTCTATCAAATTTTGTATAATAAAAAAAACCGAGATTTTTCCCTATTCTTTTTTTTTTTTTTTAATAGAATAATTTTTACTTGTGAACTAATTTTTTAATAGATCAAATTAACAAAAATAGAAGTCGATTTGTCGACTAATTTTTATTTCGTAACAAAAGAAAACAAAAACTTCTTTTTTTTTTCTTTCCAGAAAACCAACGTTTAACATGGTTATTTATAGGAAAAAAAAAATATAATTTTCTTTTTTTTTTTTAGAAAACATCGTTTAGAACGAAAATTTGCTCAATTTAAACATGATCATAATATGACTAATGAAACATTTCGTCAATTATCCGATTTAATTATGAATAAAACAATTGTTCGTCATAAATGGAAATTTTATGATAGTTTTTATTTTTCAACTGTTGTCTTAGCTCTTATTGGTTATGGTCATCGACAATTAATAACATCACGTGGAAAAATTTTTTGTATTTTTTATGCTATGTTAGGTATACCAATGTGGTTAATAACATTTCAATCAACAGGTGAACGATTAAATTCACTTTTAAGTTATGTTCTTGCTCGACTTAAACATTCATTACATATGAAACAAACTAAAATAACTGATGGAGAATTACTTATAACAGAATCATTATTATCAATAGTTATACTTGTTATAGGTGCATTTGTTTTTTCTAAATATGAACCATGGTCTTTTTTTGAATCATTTTATTATGGTTTTATAACATTAACAACAATCGGTTTTGGTGATTATGTTGTTTTAGTAAGTTGTTTGTTTTTATTCTATAATATAAGTTTCTTTATATAATCTTTTTTCTTTTATTTTTTTTGTTTTTGTTTTTGTTTTAATAGCTAAATAATCATCGTGATAAAGATTTTATATATCATGCTGAATATTTTTTTTTCTGTATGGCATTTATTTTTCTTGGTCTTACTGTTCTTGCATCATCAATGAATTTACTTGTTATACGTATTGTTGCATTTTATTCTCAAGAACGTTTACTTGAAAAACTTCGTCAAGAAGAAGCAGCTAATCAAGCTGTTTTACTTAAAGGTGATGTTATTTGTTCAACAAATACAGGAAAACAACGTTCAACAACACCAGTTATGGCTGAAATGACAGTAAATCAACAACAACAATTATTATTAAATTCTAGTCAAACATCTGTATGTTCATGTACATGTATGGAAACATTTAGTGAATGGAGACAAACAAGAAGAAAACGTGCAAAATGGAAAAAACAACAACGAAATGGATTAAATAAATCAATGAAAAAGTCTGAGTCAACATCTTCACTTAATCGAATGTATGCAATTAGACGAAGTTCTGTATAATATTCATTTTGTATTTATGTAAAAAGTAAATTTATTGTCTGATTATGTATTTAAATAATAAATTCCATTAGAACTTCTTCTGCATAGTTTTCTTTATTATTTTTCATACAGTTTATATTTGACTATCATACATTCACAAAATTAAACGCAATGAAATAGATGCATCGGATAACTATATATATATATATATGTATTCCACGTTTTATAGATAACGATCATTCTGTTCTAACGACTACATTTATAATATAACTTGTAAGCTTTTTTTTGTCGATATTTATTCTATATCGTATTACTCTTGATTTCGACAACGTAAATTAATTATGATTTTCTAAGTATAAAGAACGTAAATTGAATAAATTGTTCATTGTGTGGCTCATCAAAAAAATAATCAAATAGTTTGGAATATATATACAATTATACGAAATCTTTTTTTTTTTTCTTTTTCTAGTCAACTCCATTAATCGAACAATTATGTTAGGGGAAAAAAAACCACTGATTTAATTTTTGTTGTTCATGAGAAATAATATTTAAAAAAAATTACATTAACGATCATGATGTTGAAATTTGATTGTGTGACTGTTGTACAGATGAATGAATTTTATACCTTGGTTCTACTTCACTTATAATTTCAATCAAAAAAAAGCAATTTTTTTTATAGTACATAAGAAATAAATATAAGTGAGAAAGTAATGTTGTGACGACCTTTTTATAATATAGGCGATAAATCGTAATACCCTTATTTTCTACTTGTTAAGCACATAATGTACGATAAAGGCAAATATTCTACTGCCTAGTATTCAAAGGGCTTAGTATTACGCGTATTCTTTTCTATTCTTTTCTATTCTTTCATTCGACATCAGGCGTCTCATCGTCGACACGAGGGCAGTCCGTACATTATATTAATGGAAAGAAAGAAGAAAAAGTAGCGCGTATGATTCTTTTTCCCCCATCTGATGCAATACATTTAACCAATGGTTGTAGTCATACAGCTCTACGCAATACAAAACATAATAAATATACTTCTGTAGTAACTTTGTACGTTATTTTTTGTAGATTTGACATGTGTGGGATCTGGTGTATATTTGGTTCAACCGTTGATACTCATCAACAACTTCCAGGATGTTTTAATATCGCTCATCGTGGTCCTGATTGTTTTCGTTGTGAGAACGTTAATCATTTTACACGATGTGTTTTTGGTTTTCATCGTCTAGCCATCGTTGATGATATTTATGGTATGCAACCAATGCGTACCCATGCATTACCACATATATGGATGGTTGGTTTTGACAATGCTTTTGTTTAAAAAAATGATTATTTTTGTTTGGTTTTTATTTATTTAGACTTATAACGGTGAAATTTATAATTTCCGACAGGTAAAAAGTAACAAAGAATAAAACAAGAATTTTTATTTCTCGTTAATAAATTTATTAATTAGGTACAAAAAAAATTTGGTTATCAATTTGAAACATCATGTGATGGAGAAATTTTAATTCATTTATATAATGATAAAGGTCCACGTTTTATGTGTGAACAACTTTATGGTGTTTTTACTTTTGTATTATTTGATACAAAAGAACGAAAAATTTTTATTGGTCGAGATACATTTGGTGTTCGACCTTCTTTTCGTATTTATACGGAATGTGGTTTTCTAGCTGTTTCATCTGAAGCTAAAGGTTTGATTTCATTTTTCAAAGTTTTATGTTCTTTTTTTTAAAAATTAAATATTTTTTTTTTTGTTTTTTTGTATTTTTAGGACTTAAAGGTGTAACAGTAGCATCACAAAAATCATTAAAAATTGAAGCTATCGAACCTGGTACATTTGAAGAATATAAATTAGATGAAAATGAAAAGGCTGAATTTGTTAAAAAGGAACGTTTTCATTCTATTGGAGTACCTCCAAAATATGACGTTAATGTTACTTTAACAGGTAAAATAATTTTCATTAAAACAAATCATTTGACAAAAATATTGGTATTTATTTAAGATGATGTTTCATTAAATCTTCGTTCATATCTTATCAATGCTGTTCGAATGCGTTTAATGTCACATCGACGTCTTGGTTGTATGTTATCGGGTGGTCTTGATTCAAGTTTAATTGCTGCTTTAACTGTACAAGAAGCTCGAAAACAAGGTATTACTTATCCAATTCAAACATTTTCTATTGGAATGGATGATGAAAGTCCTGATTTAGTTGCTGCACGAAAAGTAAACTAAATTTTACATTTGAAATCAAAAGAAATTAAATTTAAATTTAAATTTAAATTTAGGTAGCAAAACATTTAGCTAGTGAACATCATGAAATACGTTTTTCAGCTGATGATGCAATAAATCATTTAAGAAATATAATTAATTCACTTGAATCTTATGATATAACAACAATTCGAGCATCAATTGGAATGTATTTTGTTTCAAAATATATTCGAGAAAAAACTGATACTGTTGTTATTTTATCTGGTGAAGGTGCTGATGAAGTTTGTCAAGGTTATATTTATTTTTATCGACAACCAACACCAGAAGAAGGTGATCAAGAAAGTCGTCGTCTTTGTCAAGATCTTTATTTATATGATGTACTTCGTGCTGATCGTACAACAGCTGCACATGGACTTGAATTACGTGTACCATTTCTTGATCATGCATTTACATCATATTATCTTTCATTACCGGCAAGTGAACGAGCACCAACAAAAGAACGAGCAGAAAAATATCTTTTAAGGTAAAATTTAAAATTTCTATTCTATAAAATTATGAATTTTTGTTTTTGTTTTTTCATTCTTTAAAAAAAATTAGAAAAGCATTTGATGGTCTTGATTTGATACCATCAGAAATTCTTTGGCGACCAAAAGAAGCTTTTTCTGATGGTGTTGCTGCGAAAACAAAATCACTTTTTCAATACATGCAAGAATATGCTGAAACACAAATCTCAGATACTGATTTTCAACGTGCTGCTACTTTATATCCAATGAATACACCGAAGAGTAAAGAAGCATTTCTATATCGGTAAAGTTATTATTTTTTTTTTAAATAATTGTTTGTTCCATTGAATTTTTTTTTTATAAATTAGTTCAATATTTGAACAACTTTTTCCTGGTCAAGAACATCTTACACCATATATGTGGTTGCCAAAATGGTGTGGTGATCAAACAGATCCATCGGCACGTGTTCTTAAACACTACAAAGAACAACAAGGTGATGCAGATAAAAATCAATGATGAATTCGATTTAACAATTGTTGTTTTAACACAAAGAATAAAAAGAATTCCATTAAAATCATTTTAAGCCGAAAAACAATTTCTTTATTTGTATTGAATAAGAATGAAATTCTTCATGATAAATATAAATCTTACAAAAGAACTACTTAAAAAAAAAAAGAAATGATGAATAATGCAAAAGTTCTACATTAATTTTGTTTTTAGTATAGCGTGATAAGAACTCATCGTAGACACTCGATAGTTTTCTTTTTAGAAAAATGCAAACCTGTGTAAAAATATTTCGTTGAAAACTATGTACTAAAGACTGAAAAATTCTTTGCAACTTCACGCAAAACCAGTTATGAGAAGCGCATTTGATCTATTTGTTTTGCATCCGACTTTCGAAATTTTCAAACATATTATATATGAGTGTAACTAATACAGTGAGCTTTCTAGTGATATTAAAAACATTCGCGTTACAAAATCATTGATTCTATAAGAAAAAGTTTAATTCAAAACTTGTTTTTTTTTCCCTATGGAATGCTCAATGAAGTATTTTTCGTAATGTCTAATATGGTGTTTTATATAGTGTGTGTCTGTAAAGGGTTCATTAAACTCTCATTGAATATAAAATATGCAGTTTTGAGTAACTTCGATTGCTAGAAAGAATCTTATCGTTCGAAATCATTTATTAGTTGTGAATACTTTTCGATAACAAAGAATGTTAGAAAAATGTCGGTTTCAAACTCAACTGATAACTTGGAAATTTTATTTTTACTTATTCAACATGCGCTATCGTAGCGCTATAAGACCCGGTAAAAGACGAAAAAGTAAAATAAAATTTCTCCATGAATAGAGATTTTCTTCTGAATTTCAAAAGTGTCCAGAATTCTTTTTTAGTTAAACATATTCTTAAAATTTTTCAGCCTTCAGTAAGTATTTTCAACGAAAATATTTATGCAGCTTTGCCCCTTTCTAACAAGAAAAATATTAAATCTCCATGATAAGTTATTGTCACGCTATACTGAAAACAAAATTAATGCAGACTAGTGTCGCGTCCGTTGATTGATGACAATATGTTACTCAACTTCCATAAGAAAATTGCAATTAAATATTAATTTAAAACAAAAAACAAACCTTTTGAAAACTAATAGACATAGCTTTGTTTTATGTCGTCACGAGTCAAATAACTCTATAACTATACTCAATCATAGTTAATTATTAAATGTTTCTTCCAGCAAATTTCTTATTAATATATAATAAAGCATAAAAATTAATCAAAAGCAAGAAAAAGAAATATTCTTAAAATCAAGATGCTATTTACAAAGGAAAAAAATTGAATATCTACATTATAACTCGAACAAACCAGCTGGTTTTTGTTATCAATGATAGAGGCATATTCAAGCTTCATATTCATAAAGACATGCCTAGAGAGACCCTTAGTTAAGTATCATTATTGATTTCAACAAAAAAATTTTACTTTTTTTGCAGATAGAAAAAAACCAATATACGATAAACAAAGGTCAGTTTATCCACATAAAATATAATCAATCAAATGAACTTGTGAATAACACCTTATTTAGATAATACATTGTTCTGTACCATATATTGTTTCTTCCTATCTGTGAAAAAGTAAAATTTCTTTTTTGTTGAGGTCAATAGTAATACTTAATAAAGGGTCTCTCTAGGCATCAGGGCTCTGTGTGGGATAGGATAGGACGAAAAAAACCATCCAATGGGATGAGTTATGGCAAACTATTTCATGTGGGATGGGATGAGACGCAAAATTTTCCGTCCCATCCCATAAAACTT